GGGGTGGCCATCCCCACGGCCAGGGGCGGAGGCAGTGGCGTTTGACAATGGACGACTCCAGAACGGCAGGAAGGCCGGCTGGGAAAGCACTGTGCCAGCACAACGGTGCACATCTTGCCTGCTTGGACAACTCCGCGGCCAAAGCTTCCTGTGTTTGAAGCCCCAGGCAAGCGCAACGCCCCAGGTGACTCTGTTCAAACATGCAACTTTCAAAACACGTATCCACCTGCAGGCCAGATTGCGGTCACGGCCGGCGTGGCCTTCTCCTTTGTGACGTTCCTCTGCACCTTCATCACAATGGCCACCGGCGGCGCCAACAACGGCGGCGTCACCTTTGACACAAAGCAGATGCTCGGGATCTACGGCGGCACACTGGCACTGTGCGGCCTGCTCAACTCTGGCCCCGTCAAGGTGCGCTGAAACCCCAGTGCCGCTGCCAAGTGCCTGTGGTCTTATTGTGTGTGTGTGGGGGGGGGGGGTGCAAAGCCCGACGGAGCAGTCAGGCCAGGCAGAGTGTTTGATGCACAAGGGTTGAGCAGCGATCGTTACGCAGTTGTACTGGCCCCCGGGGATCTTGCTGCACCGCACGCAAGTCCTCGCTGGAAGCATGCCGCCCCTCGCCCTGCTGCCTGCTGCGGTCTTACCATCCTGTCATCCAGCTTGCCCCTGACTCGCCTGTCTCGCCCAACCTCGTTTGGCGCTCCCCCAGATCATCGCCCTCATCAACGACTCGAGTGTGTGGTGGCACGTCCTAGGGACAGCCCTCATCGTCATCGCCCTGCCCTGCATCGCCGCCGTCAAGCAGCCGGCGTCCTTTGCATTCACGTCGTTTGCAGACAACAGCGAGGAAACCGGCGTCTACAACCCAGGTGGGGCAAACGGGTGCACACTCAGTGGGCACGCTGATTCCTGAAAATTGGGCGAAGAGCATGGTTGATGCCGCCAACGACGGCGTTGACCAGCGGGGCGCTGCCGCTCAGATGTGACAAATCGCGAGGGCCTCTGCCTTGGCCTGTGAACTCGCCTTATGCTGCGTGGGCCACCTGACGGGGCTGCGCCTGGCTGCCTGCGAACTTGCCCATCTGCAATGGTGAAGTGCAGTAAAGCGATGCGCGGTGGCCTCCAACATTCCAACCACATTTCTGACCCCTGACTCTCCCCTCACCTGAGTTGGTGCCTGCTCCTCTCACTGACTTGTTTTTCCCTCATCAGGCTACATCTTCTTCCTGGGCCTTCTCATGTCGCAGTGGACCATCACCGGCTTTGACGCGTCCGCCCACATGAGGTGAGGTGCTGGACGGGTTGATGGGGCGATGCAGCCAGATTTGTGATGAAGGCGTTCAGGTGGCCGAACAGCACCTGCCGCAACATGGATGATCTTTTCTGGAAGCCTGCACCCAGGTGCTATGGTCTTGCAACTCTCTGAGCTGCTGACAAGGCTGGGCGAGCTGGCGGCGCCCTCGCGTCCGCACCGCACGGGTCGCGCACATTCAACTCGCCTGCCATTCCTGCTGCGGCGCCGCAGCGAGGAGACGACTGGCGCCGCCCTGGCGGCCCCCTACGGCATCCTCAGCGCCGTGGGCGCCAGCGCCGTCATCGGCTGGGTGAGAGGCGGGGGCCGGGGTTGGCCCAGCAGTGGTGCCGTGTTTTGTTCTGTCTGGTTGGGACAGGTTGCAGCAGGCTGCCAACTGCTATGCACACAGCAGACCCCGAATCTGACCATGCTTTGATATCCCATGCCGCCCCGACCCTTCCCCTGTAGGCATACATATTTGCTCTGGTCTTCTGCATACAGGTTCGTGTTGCCTACATTCCCCGCAGCGCTGCCAGCAGATCCGCCAATTCATGCTGGATTTGTCCCTGCTTGCTACTGTTTCCTGCCTCACTGAATATGTTGCTCATGCGGTTGCCCAGACTTGAGGTCCGTCAGCAGTTATCGCGGTACAGCTGCGCCGCCTTGCAGCCACCTTTCTCAGTGCTGCATGCCTCACCCACTGTCGCTCGCATCCTGCACAGGACCCCTCCAACCTCTTCAACCCCGACTCGGCGACAGGAGGCGCCCTGCCAGTCTTCCAGGTGTGGGAAGCAAAACGGGGCCCCGCATGCCCGTGCCCACAGAACGCTTGTACGGGCATGCCCCGCATCCACTAGTCCTGGGCTTGACTAGGTCGCTCCCGTCAGGGAGCGCCCTCTTGCCAGCCCTGGTGAATGCTGCAAAGCAGTAGTATTGTGACCACAGTCTCTGCAACGTCCTTTTGTTGCATACTCACCTACGTGTTGCCCATTGCACGCATCACATCCGTCTCAGATCTTCTGGGACGTGTTTCAGAGCAAGTGGGGCAGCGGCAAGGCGTCCCTAGTGCTGGCAGTCTTCCCCCTCATCGCCGCCCTGTACGCGAGTGAGTGCACCAAACACCCCCAAGACTTGCTTGTTACGGTGTGGCCCCAAGCTCACCACTTGTCCGGTTGTGCAGCCCACAATTTGTTTCTGCAGCACGAGTTTTGCAGGCACAGCCATCAAGTCTGGTTTGGGTTTTCTAGTGCTTGATGTGCGCGGCTCCTGTTGCTGGCTGGCCCAACCTCTAAGCAGCCCCCTTTGCATGACCCCCTCGTTTCTCGCCCCTGCCCCCCCCACACACACGCACACAACACTCACTCACACTCAGAAGCACACCCCCTCCCTCTCTCTCCCCCCCTCCCTCTCTCCTGCCAGCC